TATATATATAACGAGCTCCCACTGTGGTTGAAATACTGTCAGCCTGTTCTTCAGAGATTTACATACATACTGTACATGACAAACATAAACCGTCTAAATAAATTAATAATAAATATTAAATAATATTATTACTGGTTCGACCGTTTTTATCTATCCAGCTTTCTGTCTTTTCATCCTCTGACTTTTAAAAAAAGGGGGGCTGAGTGTAAGTAACACCGGAATTTTCTTTGAATATTTCCTCACCTTAACGTCGGAAACTCTGATCCGTCCTGTCCTCGAGGTGAGTCCCGGTGGAATCCAGTGTCCCAGTTTTAACAAGTCCACAGGGCTGGATGCTGTTACACAGGGATCTTGCGCTGTTCTGCTCGCCTTTTCACGTGGGAGGGTGCAGAAAGCGTGTACATTTCAGCGTATAGCTAAATACGAGCACTCGTGTTTGTGTGGGAGTGGGACGTGTGCGCGGAGTTACAGTCAAACTTGTCAGTATCCCATCAGCGGTTCCTATGCGGCTGTGAATGCATGTGGATGTAGCCGTTAATACACCTGTGCAACCTGGCAGCAGTAAACGTGCATGCTTAGTCAAAGGCTCCCGTTTCCCCAATACAACATTTCCTATCGTATCCCGCTCAGTCTCTCCCCTCTCACGGAGAAAGGAAGGGCCTTGCTGTAGTTACACCACGTCAACTTTCTTCTGCCACACTCAGCTTTTCTCTGACTTTCCACATTGAAGCATCTCTCTCTCTTCTGCTCCTCCACCCCCTCTCTCTTCTCCCTTTCCTTATTGTCTTTTCTCAGCGCTTCTGCTACCATATTATGGCGGAAAAACTGGGTCCTAAAGCCTGTTGGTCCTCACCCTGTATTTGATGTGTTTCAATTACTCTCAGGCCCTCTTAAGCTTAGTAAGAGAAACGTGCACATGCAAAGTGAGGACATTTGCCTTTTCTTACTTCTTTAAGAGGATTACCAGGGTCAAGACTTGATTTTGGGTTGGAATTAGGATTTGGGTTAAGACCAGGGATCTAGCAGGGAGGTTTAAGGTTAGCCTTAGCAAAACAAATGTATGTGTCCTTTGGGATGCCATTTGATTTGAGCATTCTGGACAGGCTGAAAATACAATACCCGCAGGCAAGGTGCAAGTATGAGATGAAAAATCTCATTTATGTTGCTGCATGTAGCAAACACAAAAGTGGACACAGGCAGCAATCAAAACAGAGAGGGAACAAAAACTGAGGGAGGGGGAGCCAGAGGGCGGTTGATTATTATGCAGTTGCTTTCTTTAGGCCTATCTATATATGTGCTATTGCAGAGTGGAGGCAGTGAGATGCCCTCCGGCAAGGATGACTCCACTTTGTGTCAGTCCTTTAATGTCGGCTTCACCCTGTGACCCACTTTAGTCACCCAGGCCAGCTCACATTAAGATCTCCAGTCAGAAATAGTCTCAAGATGCAAAAACAGACATTCCTGCTTTGGGCCATGCTTATTTTGCCTTTTTGCCTATTTTGCCTTTTTCAGGGGAGGCCATGCAGGATAAAGTTCATGCATTTCTGGACACTAGCAGTCAATGAAATCCACAGGGCTTAAGCTGAGTATTTAATGAGGTACGCTGCTCTTAGCTCGAATCCCCCTCCCCCTGAAACGGTTTAACCTTTTAGTTGTTTTTGTTCTTGCTTTTTGGTTCTTTCCAGGCAGTCAGCATAGCCACAATGCTGCCTATCTGATGCTTCGTTTATCTTTGCCTGTCAGTGTGACAAGCATCCTCTCAGTCCAGTCCATCATGAAATAGAGATCAATATGCTCTCTTTAGTCTGAGCACATCCTCGCACATTCGCTCTATTTTCCTGCTTTTCCTTTATTCCACCATTCCTTCTCTAGTTTTCTCTCATCATCTTTCTCCATCTTCTGCTCTATTTTAGCTGAAATATGCAGAGATAAGGATTAAGGATAGGCAAGGTAGGCAAGGAGATACATACAATTACTACTGGAAACCAGTGTGTCTTTTGATCATGTTAATTGATAATAAGCTTATAACCTTTAATATGAAAGTTTGAAAACAGCTGCACAACAAAATATAATGTTTTTGTCACGGTTTTGTTTTGGGTTTTTTTTGTTTGATTTTTTCTCATCACTTCCATTTGGATGCTAACTTCCTAAAAAGAAGAAGAAGCAGAAGGAGGAGAAGAAGGTCCTTCATTTTTCTATAATTGTGCATTTTGTTTTTCAAGTTTCTCATGATTCTGGCTGGCCTCTATGTGCAATGTATTTTGACTCCCCCCTTAACGCATTTGTTTGCTTTACAAACTGGTTTCCCATGCATGACCCCAAGCTTGTGGATTAAAGACTTAGATTTCAGACTAACCTGGTTTCTAGTATTCTGTGCTTGGATCCTGTCCTCACTGAATATGCACAATGCTCAGTAAAATTAATGGGATTTGAAATTTTGGCTTAAAATATCAGATATCAGTGTCTTTAGCCTGAAGTGATATTATTTCTGCACTCAAATTCTTTTTACCAGTGGAAGTAAAGAAAAGATTGCAAAAGTACTACATATACATATAAGAATTTGGAAGCACTTGAATAAATAATGGCATCAGCCTCTTTAAATAATTCAGTTTTAACCAAAATTCTGAACAAAGAAAGACAAAAAGAAACAACACCACACACAATTCTTTGTAAAGGCTTGATTACTATTTCTTCTTACAAATATTTATCTGTACATCCATTTTCTTTTGCATATCCAATTCAGAGTCACAGTTGGGCTGGAGCCCATTCCAGCTCTCATAAGCAATGAGGTGGAGTACACCTAGGCTAAGGTGCCAGTAATTATCCATCCATCCATCCTGAAGCCTATCCCAGCTATCATAGGGCGAGAGGCAGGGTACATCATGGATTTAGAGTCACCAGTAAACCTCGTGTACATGGCTTTGGACTGTGGGAGGAAGCTGGAGTACCCAGAAAGACCCCACACAGACACAGAGAGATCCTGCAAACTCCAAAGAAAGGCCTGATGTGGCTGGTGGATTCAAACCTAAGATCTTCTTTCTCTGAAGCAGTGGAGCTAACCACAACACCACTGTGCTGCCCCACAAATATTTAAGCATTTAAAAAATGATATCAGCTTCTCTGCACTGCACTACAATTCACCCCGACTGGTTTTGTATGTGTCAGTTGCATACCAATATCCGCTGTTGATGATAAAGCCCTTATCACCAAGCCTGTCACTTTTAACAAGCAGCTTTGCAAATAATGAGCTAACAGTGGATTAAGACAACTTCCAGATGAGAAGGCGATGACCACAGCAGCAACAGCATATTTACACATACAGCAGTGTTTTCAGGAATGCAGTTCAATTACTACATTTTGTAATAAGAAGAAAAAAAGATGCAAACAAATAGAGCTAGGCTTGGTATTTTAAATAAGTTTGTTTTTCTCCTTTAGAAGCGCTGTGGCAGCAACAGCGCTACAGAGTTAGCCACCTCAGCAAAACCTGTAAGGGAGAATAAAGGAGGGAGAGAAGGAGGAGTGTAGTATTAGCAGAGAGCCTGAGGTGGTAAGTGGCACAATAGGGAAAACACAGCAAAACTAATACTCCCCAAGGAGGGAAAACCACATCACTCTAGATTTCAAAAACATAATTATTGACGGAACATGTTTTGTCTGCACAGGTGGCTTACAGCATCAGATTGCCTTTTCCAATATAAAGGGCAGAAAACATGAGCAGGAGTGATCAGGATGATCTTCGCTCAAGCCTGCTGTTATTTTTGCTTTGAAAGAGCTCCAGGGGACATATTGATGTTTTAGCAAGATGTAATCTATTATTCTTGTTACAGAAAAAAGGCTAACAAGAGACGCTGTTTGTGTGCCAAGCACTTTGGGCGAAATGCAAATGCAGCAGCCCAATCTTCCATCAGGGCTGCACACAGCTGATGAGGGATGATTTGTGTGTGCATGCGCTGCAGTACTGCTGGGTTTTACACACCAGCAGAGGGGAAATGCAGCCCTTGTACATCCATCCCTCCATGCAAGACAATACATGAAGAAAGTTGGCGCTCATGACTCTCATTTCTATCCATGAATGTTCGGGCTCCACTCTCTGCCTCTGGAGAGCTAAATTATTTATGTTACATAAGGAAAGAATTGCTTAGGGATACAACAACAATCAAAATGGCACTCAGCATGTGGCACAAACACACTCACACAAATGCAAGGATGTTTATGATAAACACAATTTGAATATGGACACATGCTTTAGCGATAGTATTAAGTATTATCATGCTCATAATTGTAGCTATTTTGACTGGATGAGTGAGTGAATTCTCAGGAACACAGATTAATGTTTCATTAATGTTTGAGCTTTGAGGGGGACAAAAGGTGATGCAGTGTTGCTTTGCATTGAAGAGAGCTCGGTGATCAATAGTTTAACATAGCAGCTTGTGATGTAAACTGTTCTAATGGGATGGAAGTTTCATCACTCATGATGCATTTTGTCATGATCCTGGTGAGCGTCTGTGTTTTCCTGCATCCGTCTTGTGAGTAGAGTTCTGGTTTCTCACCTGTTCTGCTCACCTGCTATCCATCGACGGCAATCAGCGTTCGTCAGCTACCTCATGGCGGTAACCAAGCCTCATTGCTTCTTGTCTTCATGTTTATTCTTTGTATTTACCATGATTTTCCGGTGCCTTCAGTTACCTCAGTCTGAGGTGATTCTTGGCGAACACGAACAGACTTTACTCCTCTCCCTGCTCCCGAGGGATTCATTCTGAATTTTCCACTGCTGCTTTTCTGAAAATCATGCTGGTGTTTTTCAATGCAGTCTCCCTTCTAAGGGGAACTCAGTCGGTTCAGGGGTTTTCTATTGCAGTGTTCTCTAGTGTTCGGCGGCTCACTGTGCTTTCCTCAGTTCACAACAAATATCAGGACCTCCAGGAGATCTTTAGTAAGGACAAGGTGTTGTTTCTTAGATCTCACAGGCCTTATGACAGCGCCATTGAGCTCCTTCCTAGCGCCCCCTTACCCTCTAGCAGAATTTACAACCTGTCTAGGCCCAGGAGGAAGGCAGTGGAAAACTATATTCTTAAGTCATTGGCAGCCGGCATCATCCGTCCATCCTCTTCCCTAGTAGGTGCAAGACATGGGCCAACTCCCACATCACGGAAACACCTTCACCTGTTTCTCGGTTTCGCAAACTTCCACCGACATTTTATTCGGAGTTACAGCCAGGTAGCTGCGCCACTCACCTCACCTCCACTAAGATTCTACTCATCTGGTCCCCAGAAGCCAAAGCAGCCTTCCTTAAATCAAAACAACAATTCACCTCTGCACCCGTTCTGGTCCACCCCGATACCACGAAGCCATTCGTTGTAGGGGTAGATGCCTCAGACACCCGCTCCCAAGTATGTACCAGGACAAAAGGTATGGCTTGCTGGCATCCTTCTCAAATCACTCTTCTGCAAGCCTACTCCACGCTACATTGGACCATATGAGATCCAAGTCATCATCAGTCCTATGTCAGTTAAATTTAAACTCCCTGCCTACATGTGCATACATCCCAATTTCCATGTTTCTCAAGTCAAGCCAGTGCACTCCAGTTCTTTGTCCCCTTTGACACATTAAAAAGCACATTTTATTACAGTTAGAATTTCTGGTATCAGTGAGATCTTAAGAAGAATTCGTCCAACTTTACACTTTTTAATCTTATTGAAACCTTAGCAACATGACCTTATGGGTTTAGGTCTATTATCAAAACAGTCTTAT